TGAAAAATTAAAAAAAATGAATTTTAAACTTAGAGAACTTAAAACGTATATTTGGGCTCCTCAGCAATTTCAGATGGGAAAGTTGTAAACTACAAAGTTTTAAACTTTGTTTAGTACTACAACTTACATTTCTTCATCTAACATCACTAGAAAAAGTTATGAACTTATTTTGTGCGGCGGCAATCTGAAGAGGTGGTTCATGTTACCAACCGTCCATGGCATCCGACTTCTGGTGACAGTTGGAGGTGTTTTCATTCTTTCCTAGAGATGCCTCTGGCCCCATTCGCTTGTCTTAAAAATAGCTTGTTCGGCTTCTTTTTTTTAGCCGGAACAGTGTTTTTCTCTCACAACAATTCAGCCGGAACAGTGTTTTCAGCCAGTTTCAGTCAAGTTTCAGACCAGCAAACGGGACCTCTATTTCCAGGGGGCACTTAGTAATAACAACTGCCTTTAAAAATATAGGACATTTTCAGGGGCATCTGTAACACCAATCGCCCCTGAAAATTATTTTTCATTGGTGTTCCGTCTCTAGAACCATTTCTAGGAATGGTTTTTGATCCAACCGTTCCTAACAGAAATATTGGCACCCCCCAAAATATAGGTTTTGTACTGGTGTGTTTTTTCTTAGCATATCCTATAGAGGCTAGCTCAAAATGAGCCTCGGATTATTAATAGTGAGATAGTAAGTTTTGTTTTGTTTACTCTAGAACAACCTCCTTTTGATTAATTATTCCTTCTGTCGTTCTTGCGGTCTTGCCTAGGCACCTCTTGCCAAACATCGCTTTCACAAGCTGCGTTTGTTGTGCTATCCTATCCTAGCCAGCCCTTGTTGACGACTGCATGCTATCCTGTGTTTCCACCTCATCTTCCAGTCCGGACACATGCTCTTAGACGTAACAAAGGAGGCAAATAAGCCAACATCTCCAATTCTCCATACATACCTCGCTTTCATCATCCCGTCCGCTTCGGCAAAATGTCGACATTTGTGCGCGCGTGGCGTGGCGTGGCGGCGTCGGTCGTCTCGCTATCATTCCAAGCTAACCTCATTTTCTAACAGCTAGCCAGCCCTAGCTAATACATCCAAATCCATCCATCTTGTTTTCCAATAAAAAGTTGCCGTTGAAGCTTCAAAAACATGCAAGCTGCCACCGGCATTGCCGTTTCTCTCAATTATTCAATCCACATGCATGATGCGGTCTCGATCTGCTTAATCAGTCGTACGTACGTCGAGAACACAAGCAAAAAATAAACAAACATGTAGTAGTACACAGAGAGTATGTGCATGCATGCATGACCAGCCCCAATTAACAAATAAAGTACTGTATCATGCATGAGCGGCAGCAGGTTTCGTCAGGTCACCTCTCATGGTGTTGTCGATAAGCATGCATTATCATTTGGCGGTAGTGCTAGCAGGCTAATAGCTTCATATAATTGGTCGTCTCTGTCCTCACCGGAGAGAAAGAGTCCCAGCAACTAATCCAACCTTGCACACGTAGCCCTCGTTTAGTTCCCTCCCTAAAACTTTATACACTGTCACATCGAACGTTTGATATATGCACGAAGTATTAAATATAGATTAAAAAATAACTAATTACACAATAGTTTACGACTAATTTGTGAGAAGAAACTTTTAAGTCTACTTAGTCCATAATTTGACAACAAAGTGCTACAGTACACATGTGTTAATGACGGGTAAATTAGACTTAATAAATTTGTCTCGCGGTTTACTAACGGATTCTGTAATTTATTTTTTTATTAATATCCAAACACCCCATACGATACACTCATATAATATCCGATGTGACATCTTAAATCTTTAAACGCGGGATCTAAATAAGGCCATAATATACATATACGCACATATGATAAATATAATATATCTTGCGGAGAACAGAGAACTACTACTAAGGAAAAGTTTGGGACTTTGTGCAGGTCTGCACATGCACCCAAATACTATATAAATTACTAGGTCATTCTGATTGATGCTCCCAACAATCAAGAATATTTCTTTCTCGTTTTCTCAGTCTCAGTGAGGTTTCATCAGAGTTTATAAGCATTAAATAAGTTGATGTGGCATCGTATTGATGAAGAGAGAGATGATAAGAATTTTATGGAAGTAGAGAGAGTTTCATGGGATGAAACTCTTCTGCACTATTTCCAAAATATGGATGCATTAATAACAGAGGCCATGAAATCTCCATTGAAACTGGCCTAACGTGCGATCAGGTGCATATATACAACAGCGATGATGACAGTGTGTATGAGGTGGTAGGAAATTTCCTAGAAATGGAGTCTTTGCTGGTTCGTACACGAATTAAGCAACTGATTCGATCAGTCGCCAACTATGGATCGATGCCTGTCATACTTTTTTTTGGTTTCTTGGATCGCGATGCGTGGGGAAGCTTTTAATTTCAGGTCAAACCAGATGATGAAGCGTCATTAAAAAGCTACACCCTTCGACACATCAAGATCGATGATGACTTTGGAAAAATTAGTTTAGTGGCTGGCCTGCCAGGTTAGATCGATCGATGCATTTTAGGTAGTACAGTAGAAAATTGCATTGGTCCCAATGACGTCTTGTCAATTGTCAATTGAGGAAGATAATGATGGGATCTTTTTTTTTAATCTCCACAATAAAGTGTGGTTTCAATATGAATGATCTATTATATATGAGATTTTGGAGATTTGGTGGCCTGCTTTTGTGTGAGGGATTAGTGTAGAATATATAATCGTCTGTCGCTGATATTCTCTTCTTCATGAGTAGAGGTTAATGGTGGATTATTTCAAACATCTTTTGCCACTTGTGTTGATCATAATAATGACTCGATTGTGTCTGCCATGATAGTAACTTTAAAATTATGGCTATGGATTCCCCTTTGGTGCCAAATAACATTATTTTCAGATTATGAGAGTCATAGAAAGAGGCCATCATGCATGTACTGATGAGCATGTGTGAAATCATATACTAATAATAGGGTTTGCTAAGGTTAGTTCCTGCAGTTTTGCGCAATCAAATACTACCACAAACTAACTAAAGCACCACCTTGGGATCAGAAGATTATATTATGCTTCATGTTATTAATTATGTTCTGTTTTTAGTAACGCAAAAAAAAAAAAAAGATATGTACCGCGTAGTTTGACTGGTCCACTATGGGCTAATCAATTGCACGAGGTACCTGCACCAGCACACCCCCACAACATATATACCTATATACGCATTTTAAGGAAACAGCAAGCATCATTAGTAGCTGTAGTATTTGTTCTATCAGCTAGCTACTGCATGAGATCTGCCATTTATTTGCTCTGACGAATCGTTCTGTTTCGGTTGGCTAGCCACCACCATCACATGCACATGTCGATCTCGCCAACAATGCAATGCAATATACTAATATTCAATCCCCTGCCGGAGCTGCTGATAGATAGATAGATAGATAGATAGATAGATAGATAGATAGATCACGTGGATTGTGGAATGGAGGGGACGATCATGACAACGCACTTACTACTGATTAATTAGTATAAAAATAAATTCCATAAACAAACCCATGTGTGTTCAGATGAGTAGCCTTTCGAGGACACCTTACCTGTCTTGTACTTTGATTCCAAGAGCTAGCGAGCTAAATTATTGAGCGCATATGGTGTTATATGGATGCGTAGATCTATCTGCTGATCGAGTTGAGTAGCAGCTAGTCTTTTATTTATATTGTTTAATTAGCCAAGTCGTGGAGGATTAGATAATCTCCCAACTTGGTCAGAATTGCTGGCTGTCATCAGACACCATCAATTCATGTTCAGCAATCAGCACCACATACATTTATTTATTATTTCTATTTTTTTTCTGATGATAATTGATGCTTTGAATAATAAGCATTGTGATTCGGTCAATTTCAACCCTTCATCAGATATATAATAATGCCACACAATTTGCGATATGCTACGACTCAGTTTAAGGCCCCGTTTGGCAGGGCTTCACTTCACTAGTGAAGCCATTTTTTTTGGCTTTAGCTCCACGAACAGCTCCACCGGTGGAGCTAAAGCGGTTTTGGTAAACCGTTTGGCAAAATGGCTTCCCTGTGAGAGCATGTTTTTAGGGGCCTGGAGGAGGAGCCGGGAGAAGCCACTATTTTTGGCTTCTTCCCACCACAAAGCTCTGTAAGAGCACGTTTTTAAGGGCTTCATCGGTGGAGCCGTTTCATTTTACCCCGTTTGGCAGAAAACGGCTCCAAACGGCTCCTGAAGCCGCTGGAGAAGCCCTGCCAAACGGGGCCTAAATAGTTATATATCACAAAATATTTGTTTTTCATAGTAAATAAAAAAATAAATTAACAGAATCATTGGCATATGCCGACGGATTCACACCTGTAGAGCGAGCGGTACGGGTGCTGTACGCATCCCGAGCAGTGAAGGCGTGGGTGGGCCCACCACGGGCACGCTTTTGTCGGGGCCATTGCGGCAGCCGCGCGCCATTATTGCGGTAATCGGGTGTTACGTAGAGATGTTCCGTGTTTACATATAAAAAATAAATTTTAGAATTGTCGTTAGATGAATTTATTAAGTCTAATTAATCTGTTAATGGCATATATGTTACTGTAGCATCACATTATTAAATCACAAACTAATTAGGATAAAAAGATTCGTCTCGCATATTAGTTACAAACTGTATAATTAGTTATTTTTTAGTCTATATTTAATACTCTAAATATATGTCAAATAATTGATGGAATAGGAAGTAAACTTGGACTGTGGAACTAAACAAGTCCGGTGGCGTTAACAATAACGGTGCCGCCGTGCATGCACATCTCCGGGGTCCACGTGGCGTGGCCACCTCCCGCTCTCCTTTATATACCCGACCACCCCCCTCCTCTCTCTCGCCTTCACTCCACCACCGTGTCTGCCTCCTCTCCTCGCTTCTCCAATCTCCACTGACTGAGAGCCTTTCTCCCTCCCTTGTGATCTTGTCCCTTCCCAAGAAGAAGGAGAAGACCTGGTTTGGTGGTGACATGGCCGTGCAAGCGCAGTTCAGCGGCCTCGCCGGGTGCCTGCTTCCCTACGGCGGCGGTGGCAGCGGCGGGTTGGCCGAGGAGCAGCTGCAGGCGCTCCTGTCAGCCGCCGCCGCGGGCAACAAGCAGGCCCAGCAGTACCACTGCGCGGCCGGCGTGGCCAGCGCCGTGCAGAGCGACCTGACCTGCAACGGCGGCGGCGGCGGAGGCGTGTTGGCGTCGCGGAAGCGCGGCAGGGACGGCGACCTCGAGCAGTACCACCACGTGCCGTCCTCGTCCGCCGCGCTGCTCCCGATCCCAGGGGTGGTGGTGCATCAGAAGCCTCCGGCGGCGACGGCGGGGAGCATCGCGAGCAGCCGGATGGCGGACTCCGTGGCGGCGTCGACCAGCGGGCGCGGCCCGCTATGGACGGCGGACGCGCTGTTGGCAGCGGAGCTGTGCCAGCAGCAGGGCGCGGCGGAGGTGGACGCGCTGGTGCGCGCCGGGTCCGAGCGCCTGCGGGCGGGGCTGGAGCGGGCGCGGAAGCGGCAGTGCGAGGCGCTGGCGCGCGCCGCCGCGGCGGGCGCCGCGGGCGCGCTGCGTGAGAAGGAGCGCGAGCTGGACGCCGCCCGCCGCCGCGCGCAGGAGCTGGAGGAGCGGCTAAGGCAGGCGGCCGCCGAGACGCAGGCGTGGTGCGGCCTGGCGCGCAGCAACGAGGCCGCCGCGTCGGGCCTGCGCGCCACGCTCGACGCGCTGCTCCTCCGCGCCGGCGTCGGTGGTGGTTGCGGTACGGCGCAGCACGCCGCGGCCGAGGAGGAGGGATTCGGCGAGTCCGGCGGCACGGACGGCGCGGAGTCGTGCTGCTTCGTCGACGCGGCCGAGGACGCGATGCCGCCGGCCCCGGCGGCGAAGTGGGCGTGCAGGGCGTGCGGCGGAGGCGAGGCGTCGGTGCTGCTGCTGCCGTGCCGGCACCTGTGCCTGTGCAAGGCGTGCGAGCCGAGGGCGGACGCCTGCCCCGTCTGCTCCGGCGCCAAGAACGCGGCCATCCACATCGCGCCCAACTGATCGCGACGGGTTGGCTCCGATCCGGCGATCTCGGCAGCCAACGCCATCGATCAGTTTAGTAATTAGTAGGAAGTAGTAGGTAGATTACTACTCGTATTAGGTAACGGTAGGTTGGGCCGATTAACCCGTTCGTCGTCTGCTGCGTCGTGTTCGCCCGATTGCCGCTGTTAAAAGGTGAAATTACCGATGGGTGGAAGTCCTGTTTTGGTTAACAATGGACATGTGGTGTAAAGGATGTTAACCTTTCTGGCTTACCAATACTGTTTGTTACTTCACCATGTTGTGGTTTTTTTTTGCTTTTCCTCCGGTTTCGATTTGATCCGTGTCAAGTGCTGTACTACGCAGAGCATCCTCTGTTGTTGTTGTTGTTGCTCTGTTTCGTCGTCCATGGACTATCATCATGCTTGCCCAGTTGCCAATTGCCATCATCATGTTTGTGGCAGATCTGAAAAGATGCCCGTGTGCATGCAATGCAATGCAAAAGCTCGCATTCAACATCGACGCGATCTGCCACGTTTTCCGAGGTGGACACGCTTTACTGTCCGTATTGATGAATGCCCGGTGGGTGGCGTCATGGCAAAGATAAAAATCCTAAGCATGAATGCATGCAGTACCAAGATGAGGTACGGAGCGTGCTGCCTGCCACTCTGTCTGTCTGCTGCTGTAAAAAGAAAAGCTTTTTTCTTTTTCGTTCGGCAGAGAGCTGCAGAGGCAGCTGCAAAAGCTCTCGGTGGAGCAATGCCAATGCATGCATGCCATCAGCTTTTTGGTCGTTGGTTGCGACGCGCGACGCAAGGCAACAATCGCTGGAGCTGGCGACGCCTTTGCCATCGTGCCACTGCCATGCTTTGCTTTCTCCTTTTCGCTGCAGAAGTAGGAGTAGGACACTGTAGGCGGCCATCGCACACCGGCTGCTGCAGCGAGACAGACGCTGGTGTCTGCGTGCCACTGCGTTCTCTTTCTTTTCTTTTTTGAAGGCAGAGTGTTTGATGCTGCGGCTGCTGAGCTGCTCCGCAGCAGGAGCGCAGTACAGCATACAGCATCATTTGGCAATTGGGCTGGCTAGCTTGAACAAGCAATGATCGTGGCTCCGGCTGGCCGTGGCTGTGTCGCCTGTCGCGTACGTGTCGGTGGGTGCGTGCAGAGCACCGCAGGGAAAACCACTACCACTGGTGGTGGTGATGCATCACACTCGTAGTACACGGCTCCTCCATCCATGGGCCATGCATGGCCCGCCGGCGGCCGGAAAAAGGAAGCAGCGGCGCGTCGTCTTTTTCCTTTGGGGCTCTTTGGTCCGGTCCGGAGACGCACAAAGATGGCGGTGCGGCCGGTTCTTTCCGTGCACGCATGATGCGTCATGGGCTCAGGGAGACGCTGGTCGCATGGTGCGGCCTTTTGCCTTTCGGTCACGATCGATCGAGCTTTGGAATAACCAACACGCAACGCGCCCACCACACTGTCTCTCTTGCAGATGTGAGACGCATGTTTGTTTGCAGTCGCACTGGGCTACGGACCAGCAGCGTCCGACGCACCACTTTGGCCGGTTGGGATTGGGGGCACCTGGAGTAGTTGTCAGGCCCACATACTTGCGTTGCCAGTGTGCCATGCCACCAGTCCGTTTGCTTTGCCCTTTGGTGCATTGGTGGGTACCGTCTCTCTTTACGCTGCCTAGACTAGACACCATCATCATCATATCGGTGCTTTGTTTCAGAGTGGCCGATTATTGGTGGCGTTGTACTAGTACGTTTGGTCTCCTCGTTTCTGTACTGCACACATGCAGGCAGGCTAGGAACATGGTGCCCATGTACGTATATGCGTGCTTCTTCGGCTCCGAATAAATCAAGTTCAGAGTTATCTTTAGCCCAGACATTTTTAAGTTCGAGGATCGAATTTATATATAGAAAAATATGTTAAGATTTATGACACTAATTTGGTATCATTAGATACACCATAAATTGTATTTTCATAATATGTTCAATTAGGACTATACTCACTCCATCAATAAATCAACATGTAGAATTGTTCTAAGTCAAATTATTATAAGTTTTACCGAACTTAAAGAAAGAAGTGCTTCTATAAATTGATTTACTTTTTTTTGGGGGGGGGGGGGTGGCGGGGGAGGTTGTATATATAAGGGCTCTAAGATCCATACAAGATTATCGGGACCTTGTATGACAAATGGACCAAAGTGGTTTAAACCTAAGGTTGGACGACTCGCTATATTAGTGAGTTTGTTTATTCTACCTTGATTCGGTTTTTTTTTTTTTTTTTGAATGAGCCGAGCTAGCATTTTAGCTTGTTCAGTTAATGAACTAACTCAAACTGGCTCACAAGGCAACTCGTGAGCTAAACGAGCGAAGTCTTCATAATCCAACAACCTAAACTAGTAACAATTAGGTTTGCGTGAACTGAAATCTACAATTGACATATGCTATGCATGACACTTATTTCGTTGTCTTGATGATTGCATAGAATAAATTTGTAGCTATTGATTTATGCATTAGTTATAGCTATTAATGAGCTGGCTTGTGAGCTAAATGAGCTAAGCCGAGCCAGAGTTTTAGCTTTTTTACTTAACGAGCCGAGCCGAGCGCTGAGCCAACTTGTTATCCTAATAACAATCTTTATTGAGCTGAGTCATAACACTACCCTATCTAAACTTCAGTCCTCAGTTTCTATTTAATTAATTCAAAATACGAATACAACAACCCAACTAATTAAGATCCCGTTTTGTAGGGAGCCTCTCCGGCTCCTCCGAGGGAGCCCTACCAAACAATTTAGGGCGCGTTTGGCCAGGCTCAAAAAACGAGCTTCTCCGGCTCCGGCGCTGTCAGTGAGAGAGGAAAGGAGGAGAGAGAAAAACGGCTCGGTGAACAGTGTCGCTATAAAGAGATGAACAGGGAGGAGTCAGAGGAGCCAGAGCCGCTCGGAGCCCGGCCAAACGGGCTCTTAGTAGAAGCCGTTTGAAATCGTTTTTAATGGAAAAAAAAGAAAAAGCCTTTGGGAGGAGCCCTCTCAAACAAGGGCTAGGTATTCTTACCTTTATTACCCTTACCTTTCATGAATTCCTATCCGGACTAGCGTGCACTTTCGGTGCAATGCGCCTTTGGCTCCTTTCCTCTTTATTCGTGCAAAATGCAAACACATATGCATACGTGTGTTTGTGTGCGTTATTCTTTGCTTAGCTAGCTTGTTCTTGGCTGCTAGCTTTCTAGCACGTGCCTCTGCAGTTGTAAATTCTTTCCTCTACTAGTTGTCTAGTACCCTACTCCTACGTCTGGATGTAGACATGCATGTAGCTGCGCATCATTGCTGCGATCTCTCTTTTTGTGTATAGTACCCACTTTCGGAGATACCGAAGCATGCACCACTGATGGAGGTAGCTAGGGGTCAATCTAGGATCATCATGACCGATGGATCTGTAGCACGTAGCGATGATGATCCAGCGGGCCAGCAGGCCAGCACTTGGAACGAAGCCAGTGCTTCATTCACCTGCATACGACGAAGACGCGATAAAACCCGTTCAATTTGGCGTTTTCAGACTTTCAGTGCATGCTTCTCTTCACTCCAGCCAAAGTGCTATATAGTTTCCCCAAAATAGCCACATTTTAATCAGGCGTGAATACAAATGTAGGCGAAAAAAACTAATTACACAGTTGGCGAGAAATGAGAATAATCGCTGCAATTTTGGTCCGGTCCAGATAGCCAAAATGCATCGCCCATACTAGCCACCCTTTTAATCAGGCGTGCCGGCCTAATGCGCTGCTGGTCCGGTCCAGATATGCATCGATTATATGAGCCTTAAATTTTAATCAATGTGGACTGTTAATTGGACCAGAACGTACACATGACAGTGCAAAGTTATTAGTACTCGTACTACAGGCGCGATAGTGCTGCGCGCGGGCCTGTAATTGGTTTGCCCATTTTGGAATTAGTATTTTGTTAGTGGTAATGGAATGGCACCGATCGGTTTTCTTTGTTTAGGCCAACTGCATTCCTCTTCGTTAGACGATGTGATCATTACGACTACGAACAATGGAGGGGCCATGCATGCATTGCAACGTTGGCACAAACATGAACAATAAGTAGTATATATAGGGAAAAACACTAGAAATTCTTGTCATTTTACGAATACAAGTTCTAATGTCCGCATTACCTCCCAAAACTTCAATAAAAAAAATCTCAAATTGCACATAGGGAAATGGAATAAATAAATAAAAATCAAATTTCATTAGAGGAAGATCACTACTAAAAGATGATTTTTTTTTTCAGAAGACAACCCTTTTTATTTACAAGGCCAGTCCGAAAAAGTGTATGTCTCTAAAAATACCTAGTCAATTTTAGAGGTCTTCGGTCCATTTATATAGGCAGTCCTATAAAATGCGGGTGGCCAGTGGCTTGTGTCGGTGACATTGACCTAGGATGCCACCATGCATGTGGTTGTGGGGGAGCAGGATTTGGGGGAGGGGGATTTGTTTGACCTTCGCCACCATATGACATCTTCCTCTTCCTTGACAATAACGTTGGGCACCAAGCCCACCGTCGTGTCGAGCTTGCTTCTCGTACATGCAAGAGTCGTAACCTCGCTGCCCATGGTGCTGATGTCCAAGGCGAGCACAGGTTCTAGCGTGTGCGAGGGAGAAGAGGCATGGAGGGAGGAGGATGGAATAGGATCTACCTTTAGTGAGAAGGGAGTGAGGGATGTGGAGAAAAGAGAGAGAGAGAGAGAGAGAGAGAGAGAGAGAGAGAGGTGAGAGGAGAAGTGGCGGCAGGTTATAGAACCGAGAGAGAGCTCGATCAATCTAGAGTTAGAATATGGGTGAGAATGTTCTTTGGATAAAAACGAGATAGGAGAAGGGCTGGACATGCAATTTTTAGAGGCAAACCTCTTAGGTGGATGCACTATGAAAATAACACTTAGAGGGAGTTTAGCAGCGCTCCTCTCCCATCAACTCCAAAGCCAGAATCGAAGCACCTGGTGGATCCCCAAAGGGTAGCTT